CCCTCCCTCCTTCCCTTCCTCCCTCTCTCCCTCTCTCCCTCTGTCAATCCTTTCCTTCCTCCATTCTTCCCTTCCTCTCTCCCTCCCTCTCTCCCTCTTTCCCTGTCAATCCCTTCCTTCTTCTCTCTCTTCCTCCCTCTCTCCCTCCCTTCCTCCCTCTCTCCCTCTCTCCCTCTGTCAATCTTTCCTTCCTCCATTCTTCCCTCCCTCCTTCCCTTCCTCCCTCTCTCCCTCTTTCCCTCTCTCCCTCTTTTCCTGTCAATCCATTCCTCCCTCCCTTCCTCCCTCCCTCTCTCCCTCATTCCCTCCCTCCCTTTTTCCCTTCTGCAGGACCTTGCCCCATCGAGACCTCCGGCACTCAGGCCCCCTTCCCTCTCTCCTGCTCCCTGGAGGGATCGTCCTGGAGTTCGGCCGTGGAGCAGCAGGAGGGCCTCTCCCTCTCCATCGCCATCGCCTCCCCTCCGGACGCCCGCATCGGCCGCTACCGCCTGATCCTGGATGCCTCCACCCAGGATCAGGGCTCCAGCTTCCCCCTGGGGGATTTCGTCCTGCTCTTCAACCCCTGGTGCACAGGTAAGGCCCCTCCCCGGCAAGGGGAGCCACCCCCCCAGGTCTCCTTCTTCCAAGCTGGATCTGGGCAGATCCCTTCCATCACCGTCTGCCCAGGTTTCTCCAACCTGAGGATCGGGTGAGGTTCTCCTGCGTGGAAGAACCGACCCATCTTGAGGGATCCACCCTGGAGAAGGATCTCCTACACTGACTAGGAGCCAACTTCCCAGGGCATCGGAGACGATTCTTCTAGCTCCTTCCTGACGAAATTCAGGTGCACGCAGTCCTCAACTTACATCCGCAACGGACTCCACAATTTCCATTGCTAAGCAACACCGTTGTGGAGCGGGTTTTGCCCCAGCTGACAATTTTCCTTGCCACACTGGTGAAGCGAATCGCTGCAATTGTCAAGTTAGTGACACGGTCGTTAAATGAGTCCGGCTGCCCCATTGGCAGAAGGTCACAAAAGGGGATCGCGTAACCCCTGGGGGATGCCGCGACCGTCATAAGTAGGAGTCAGTTGCAGTTTCAGCGGTCGTAAATGTGAAAAACAGTCATGTCATATTTTTTTTTCCAATGATGCTGTGACTTTGAACAGTCACTAAACGGGTGTTTGTTAGCCAAGGACTCGCTGGCTGCACATGGGGTCTCTGCTAGAGCGAATTCTCCACCGTCAAGTGGCTGAGCACAGGGATCTGTTGCGTTCCCGTGAACAAGTCCCATCACGCAGTTGCGTTGCTTCTGGTCCAGGATGTTGCCTGACAAACCCGGCTAATTTGTGTGTGCTTTGGAAACCCTGGTTAGATAAACAAGGTCTTAGGGCCCAGCCCTTGTATATGGAAGGTGTCGTGTGCAATTAGCCTTTGGCAGTTCCAAGTGGAGGCATCTCACACAACAAAGACATCTTCCCACAGGGCAGGAAGCATTTGCTGAGCGGAAAGGATTATATCCAGCATTATCCAGGAGCTGCGTTGACGGCCTCGGTTACTACCTTTGTGGTTCTGTTTTTCTTACTTGTTTTTACTGGGTGAACAACTCCCAGGAGCGGCAGCCAAGAAACACAAGTTCAACTTGTCCCACCGTTGGTGGATTCCC